CCGATTCCTCCGGTTCTCCACTGCCGTCGTTTGCCCTTCTTTCGGCGGCAGATCCTAGGCTGTATCCCCCCATGCTGCCCTCGGGTGCTGGGGTGGTACCGGTCCAGTCACTGCGCGGGGATATCTTGTCGTTCAGCCCTTCATCGTCATTGTATTCGCCCATGTGCCTATCCTCGTCTTCCGGTTCCAGGTACAACGACTCAGTTTCATCCTGTAGGGAGTGTTCTGTGAAGAGGATATGGGATCTGATGATGGTGGCCAGGGAATCGACCATGACCTCCGCTGGGCACATCTTGCCTGCAAGTGTGCTGTATGGCAGGGCGGTCACAATGTTCCATGCTCTCCACACCAGCCCCTCGTGCAGCCTGGATTTTTCTTCTAGTTTTACGAGGATAGGTTCGAAAGATCTGGTTGTGGCGAGTTCCTGGTCGATGTATGAGTCTTCCCCGAGGGGGGCGGGGATTCCGAAGACTCCTAAGGGGGAGTCTTCGGATATGCCTTCTCTGATTGTTCTGGCCAGTGTCCGGTGGTCTCCCGCGATCGGGAAGGTGAAGGATATGTTTGTGGCTACCTGCCACTCCCCAAACTTCTTTCTGTATCGGATGGGGACCAGAGGTCTGAGTGGTTTGATGGTTTTGCGATCTGAGGTAGCTTTCTCAGTGACATGGGGGCCCTTGTTGTCTGCCACGTTTTGAATGGTGCAGTATTCTTTTCTGTGGCTTTTCGGTATTCCATGTTCTGATCAAACAGGCACTTTGTCTGAGCAGCGACGATGGCGATCTCCTGTTTGAGCGACCGCTGCTCGTTGCCATTTCCTAGCGTATCCGTCGTGATTTTTCTGGATCTCTTGATCCTGCCCTTTAATGGCTTCCACTTCTTCGGTACCATGTCTCTGATTGGGTCCTCGTGGGCCTGAGTTTCTGCACTGGATCCGGACTCAGAGCTCGAGTTGTCTCTCTCCCTCTTCTTCTCATGATACCTGAAGGCGCTGAATTCTGACAACTCCCTCTTTTCTGTCAGGATGTTGTAGGTGTTCGTGGACGTGTGGATACCTGCTACCGGGCCTTTGCTGCTCCGGGCTGTCTTCTCCTGATGCTTCATGCATGCCACTCTGATGTCAAATTCTTTCTCCCTCTCGTTTCTGGCTCTTTCCATATATTCCTGCAGCCAGGCAATGGGGGATTCTCCCTGTTCTTTCGTTTTGCCTTCCCTGTCGCTCTTGGAGGGGGATATGTCCATTTTTTTGTGGGTACAGTCATGATCTGTTATTGGGCTGGGGTCTGATTTAGTCGGGGTTTCCTGTGAGCTCTGTGTGTCAGATTGACTCAAGGTCCCACCATCGAGAATGGGCTGGGGTCTGATTGACTCAAGGTCCCACAACAGCTCTGTCTTCTGTATATTTTCCCTAGGCTACCGGGCCTCTGTCAGGATGTTGTAGGTGTTCTGGAAAATATACAGAAGACAGATTGGGCTGGGGTCTGATTTAGTCGGGGTTTCCTGCGATCAAAGAAGAAAAGAAACACGAAGACCTGTTGTGGGACCTTGAGTCAATCAGACAACAGGAATCCTAGGGAAAATATACTCTGACCCGGTGGTGGATTCCCGTGCGATCAAAGAAGAAAAGAAACACGAAGACCTGTTGTCGACCTCTGTTTTGATGTCCTCATGTTCTTGGATGGTTTTCACCATCCATTTTCTTTTCTCGATGGGGGAGAGTCTTGCCCCGGCGTTGGAGAAGGAGAAGATGAGAGCATGCTTCTCATATGTCGCATTGGTGTCGGCGATCTTGTCTTTTGGGTATGCCCAGGTGGTCACTTCCTCGTCGGTGTTGTCCTTCACATTCCTGACTGTGATTGTGACTTTCTCCCCTTTGATTTTTGGGGCTTCCAACAGAAATCGAAGTGTCTTGTGATCTACGTTGGATGCCATTTGGGAGGGCTCCTTTGAGGTGGCTGTTCTTGTTGCAGCTACCTTGCTGTAGCGGCGTTGGTAGGTTTGAGCCATTTCTGCGATTGCTTGTTGCTGGTAGTGTGGTGGGGTTCCTGTGTTTCTCTTTTTCTGCTTTTCGGTGGAGGTTTTTTTTTTTTTTTTTTTTTTTCCCCCTAGGCTACGTGGTCCTGTCAGGTTTTTTTTTTTTTTTTTTCAATTGATTGATTGTGAGAGTTAGATGCGTCGCGTTAGTCCACGTGTAGAGAAGAATAATAAAAAATAAAGGGTGCGATTTTTCCTTCTTTTTTTCTTTTCCTGTGCGGCAGTCTTAATTCACATTCGAGTCACTATAGGATGTGGTTGCATACGTGCAGTAGGAGGGGGGGGGGGTACAGTGGACCTACCACGTGGACTGCGGCTGCATGCATGCAGCCTTGGTGGCCTGGTCGGGACTATGCCCGGCTGGGATTGGGTGGCGGGGGAGTTGAGTCCTATGTGCTAAGCGGGAGGGGGGGTGGGTTGGGGGTTG